AAACTGAGTGACAAAAAAACTGCTGAAAAATACACCAATTTAAGTTGTTATATTTCAAAACTACTGGAGAAAAGGAAGTGAACAGCTAACCAAATTATAAAAAATACAAAGTTTGTGAGAGGTAGAGGTAGGAAGTAAATATAGCAAAGCTAATGGAATGTAGCCGGTGTTTCAGTGTTTTGAAACAATAGATGATGAATTCAAGTCTTATGAAAACACAAGTACTCAGAAAACTGAACCACAGGTTTTACTACTATCCACAGCAAACTGATACGACTGTTCTCAAGTATAGTCACTACTTAGAACTGGAAAACGAATACTTCAATTTCTTTTTTCATTATCAAGTTTTAACTGTGTATTGACGCCATAAAGTTGCTGGAAACCGGGAAAGCAGATGGAATCCCTCCAGAAGCACTGAAAACAGACTCAGAGACAACAGCGGACATGCTCACACCGCTATTACACAAGGTTTGCAAGAAAGGAAAGAAAAGTATTTGCCGAGTGGAAGAAGGGATACCTTGTCAAACTCCCGAAAAAGCGTGACTTAAGTCCTTGAAAGAACCGGTGCGGAATCATGCTGCTGTCGACCTCAAGCAAAATATTTAGCCGCATCATCCTGGAGAGGCTACAAAATGTTCTGGATTCAAAGTTACTACCAGAACAGTCTGACTGGCTGGCTTTAGGAAGAACAAATCATGTGCGGATCAAATTGCAATGCTACGCTACAAATCATCATAGAACAGAGCATAGAATATTAGTCAACTCTTCACCTCAACTTCATCGGTTTTCAAAGACCTTCGACAGCTGATAAGTAATATAGTATTTATCTAGAACAGTTAAAACTTTATAATGGCCATGGACAATATAGCGCTGGTTTGAACTTATGGATGGTTAGTGCTTCAGCAATTCTTCATCACATTGGTCTCACTGCCTTTGAGTCACTTGATCAAAAGCTGCAGAGAGTTTTGAAAGGGTTCTCAAAAGTAGCTGAGTGACCTGAGTTCAAATGATGTTCTGGTTCTAAGCTAAATATGTATTACTCTTCTCCCTTTACAAGTGAGAGTATGCTACGGCCAGCGTACGTAGCTCCATAGAAGCAAGCAAATTTGTATATGCACGTTGATGTAGCCTAATACATCAGCTTGTCTTTCCTACATTGAACAAGAAGTCTTCTGCTGGAGGAAATGATTCGAAAGTTGGCGGCGAAGTATATTCTATTTAACGATCTTGACATTCGTTTTTCAAGAATGTCTGCAGTTATGTCATTTCCGAATTCAATATTCAGCAAAAGGATCTTTTTTGATGTTATATATATTGTTCACTCAGTTGTGTTCTTTGGCTTCAAGTTTTTATCTATGAATCTATGTGGGAAACAGTTTTCTACTGGAATTCTTTGAAAAATTTGCAGTACTCCGTCAAAAATGGCCTCCATACCTATTTTCTTGATCATCGAGGAAAAAGAACGGATAAGATTTCTTTTCCTGCTTAAAAAGACGGAACTTTGAAAATTCATAACCTGTCCGTCCCATATAGGCTTTCTGTAAGTCCACCTACAAAGTGAATTATCATCTTTTCTTCAGAGTTGAATATCAAGGAAATAGGACGTTGAGTTTAACTGTGATTCTAGAACGAAGTTGACTGAGGGGTGAGGATTTTTGAAAGTATGAGACAGGTCTACAAGAGTAATGCTTTCATCGCAAACTATAAAGGTCTCTTGAGTGTATATTTTGTGGATATGAAGCCCATTGATTGTTGGTGTTTTGTAAGCTTACCTCAAAACATTCAGCTAAGAGGGTCCTAGTAGATAACCCACTGGTACATCATCTATCTTCCTGAAGATTTCATTATTAAATCTGAAGTACACATCTAAAAGGTACATCGAAGAAGTTCTTTTAAATAGTGATTTGGAGTACCAACATCTATGTTATGGGATCGAATGAAGTCGAATGATGAACAAGTGGATTGTGTTAGTGAGACATTCATGAAGATGGACACGATATCCAACGAAATCATCCTTTCACCTGTCAAACTGATATTCTTAATTGGATCGAAAAAAAAAATCAAATATGTCACTGAGGTTATAGTTCAACAGCTTCTTCTTTACAGGTTAGAGTATCTCTATGCGCCAGTTCGAGATTGAATGATATGATGAGTTTATCACACCTGATATTGGACGAAGTGGAATAACTTTCTTTGTGTATTTTGCATAGATCACATAAACGACGGATCGTAGAACACGATATGCTAAGTTGTTTGTCTACTTCCTTGCTAATGAATGATTCGTCTGTCATTTTTTTCAATATCTTCAACAAATGAAGTTCTGTTTACTCACTAGGATCTATGTTTTCTGTTTTAAGACTAAACTATCATTTTTCTTCAGTTCATTCACTTGATTTCAAAGTCTTTGTTAATAGCTATTGGCTAACAGTGGAATCCAGGAAGTACGTTTCTTCCTATATGAGACTCGTCAGCTAGATATACCTGGATTCCAGTGGGCAGTGTTGTTCTCTCTGGGACTGGAACTTAGTACCGATCATTTCAAACACCAGAGCGTTATCCACTAGACCACTAAGCCACGTTAACCACTTCTTGGGCGATGGGTTGCTTGTATTATTTTAAGTTTTTTTAAGTTTCAAAATAAAATATGTAAGCAAACTGAAGGTGTTGCCATGGGATCACCAATATCCCCTATAGTCGCAGACATATTTATGAATAGTTGGGAACAGGTGGCCCTTCAAACATTTAGTCCTACTCCAAAGATATGGTTCCAGTATGTAGATGATACGTTTACAGTACTGAAATTGGAACACATCAATAGGTTCTTGGCACATATAAATTCGGTAGTAAATGCAATCCAATTTATCTGTGACACAGAAAGTGAAGAAGGTGAGCTAGCAGTGTTGGATTGCAAGATTAAACGAACACGAGAAGGAAATCTAGAGACTAGTGTCTATAGGAAACCTACCCATTCGAATCGCTACATAGACTTTTAATCCTCCCACCCCATTTCAGTTAAAGTAGGCCTAGTTGAATGCTTAAGTGATAGAGCGGAAAAGCTTACTAGTGAATCAGAAAATCTGCGACAAGAAATTAGACACATCAAGGATACCCTACTTCTCAGTAATTACCCACCAAGATTTATAACTAAATTCATAAGAAACCGAAAGAAAAATATTAGCAGTGGTAGTAGTAGTAGTAGTAATACAGTGTTATTAATAATAATCCCACTACTAGTGGTAATAATGGCGACAAGGTTAAGAGAGAATTCAAAGCCTCTGCCTTGTTACCATACAAGGAAGGCACCTCAGAAGCATTACGAAACATTCTCAATAAGGCTAGCTGAAATTAAAGTGGCATTTGAACTAACAAACTCGCTTAGAAACAAGCTTTGTAGGTTAAAAGATCGCACTGATGCATTTGAGCAAAATAATCTGGTCTACCAGATGGCTTGCAATGATTGTGAGGTCAAGTACATAGGTCAAAGCAGTTGACCAGGATCAATTAGAATAACAGGGCACAAAAACTTAACTAAATCAAGATTAGTATATCCTAATAAGATAAGAAATCTAGACAAAAGATCAGGTGTAACTCGACTCTACATACGATGACACACAATCACACAACAGGGTGGGATAGGGCGACAGTGTTGAAAACTAAGTTAGTTGGGTGGAGGGAAGGAGAGATTGATAATCGACTGAATCATTGTTTATCGAATCAACACCGAATACATGCAATCTAAATGATTCCGTACCCGTCTGAGATGTATGCAAATTCTACTACCCTTGTCATCATAGAAAAGGAGAGAAGATTATGACTATATAAAGTCTGTCTCGAAGTTGTGGAGTTACCTGTTGTGATATGAATTTGGACAATAAATTGTGTTCGGAACGTCATCCAGTAAATGATACTGTCTGTTCACTGTATGATATTTCTAATAAACAGACTAAAATGGAATCACGATCGACCACAATGCCCGAGTTTTGCTCTTACATTAATGTATTATCCTACTGTTTGAGATGGTTTAAATCATCACATGAGACTGGATTTAGATCTGTCGTTTGATTAAACAGATTTCTGAACTGCACTTTTGTATTGAGCTCATTAACGTTTGAAATGAATCCATAAAAAATTTAGGTTCAAGTAATAAGATTTTGTATCTGAATTGAGGATAGCGATACATTGAAATAGTTGAGCATACAATTTTTCAGGATAAGAAGAAAGGGATACTTCCTCTCTTAGAGACTTTAAGCTTTTTAAGATGATGACGAATATTTATAGCTAAGGAGGATCATTTCTATGATGTCCTTTCTGAGCTGGATGGCTTAATTGTAGAACTATCAATGTCGCACACAAGACTATCAGGACATGCTATTTATTAAATTGTAAAGAAAATCTTATAACTCACTTCTTCCTAAGAATTTGTGACTATGATGTTGTATAGAATGACAATGAAAGCCCCACGGTGAGACCATCCAGCTTAGAGAACACAACATCGTTAAAACGATAAGCTTTTATTTAGCTTCACATTGACATCATCAGTTTGCATCACTCACAGTGACTTAGATAATTTTGTTCTACAGTGTTCTGTGTGGATACTGTAGTGGTCGTTAAAAAAAAACAACTTTTTGTAACCATGTCTTGTTACAATGTTAGTATGATGGCTATTCAAAGGCTTAAATCCAGGTATTTTGTCCTCTGAAAGTGCACACAGTTTATTCAGTTCCTTAGACTGGAACTTTGTTCAGTTGTTTTAGGCCTAAATGTTTGTCATTCTCCCCAACGGATAAACTTGATTCGGATATCGTGATCAGAGTTTTCTCAACCAACTAAAAGTCAATTTGTATCATAAAGATGATATTAAGCGTTTCTTTAGCACTCGATACAAAGAAAACTCTCATTTTCACTCTTTTTCACTGTTCAGCGTAAGTTGGACAAAAATGTTGCCAGTACAAATGTAATTATTACTTTTATTATATTATTTTCGTTAAAAAATAAAACAGGATAAAAGATACAATGAATGTTCCAGATGATTACACATTTGGCCTATGTAGTAAAGATAATGATATAACTGCTGGACAACTGTTGCATGATTTATTACCGAGAAGAATTGCCGGACTACCAGTTGAAGACAGTATTGGTCAACAAAATGATACCAATGCTAAGCGGTTTATTAGTTCTGGGGAAAGATTGAAAGCAATGCTGTCGGTTATTCACCATGCTTTGAGAAACCAGCGTTATTATCATGGATCAGAGATTACGACTGCTTTATGTCAGTTGGCTAACAAGGTAGGCAAAAAGTGGTTTAACAAGTGAAGTTGTTTGAAGTTTCAGTGTTTTTTTGAAAATTGATACAGTTACGTAGTTTTTACTTTGAGAGGCTAGGAGATGTCACAACTGGAATATATAGTCTTCACATCTTAGAAACGCAACCACATGAAAAGGAACGCTTCTGCCAGAGCACTCTGTTAATGCCGCCCCAAAACTAATCATTGAATCCCGAAACCCTCTCAACTATCAAGCTTCGAAGCATCCACATTTTCCGGGCAATCAAATCGTTTGATCATACTCACCTCCTATGATCAGACGTTCACCGGATTCGTCTTACTGGATCTCCGCAATCTTCTATAAAGCGATGCAACAATTCAGACACGGAGGTTGCTCGCAGGCTACCTTGAAGTGGAATAGGACTATGGCGAAACGGTACTCGGGGTTTCGGACCGAATACCGTTCACCTTTGTAAGACTGGCCAAACTACCTCTCTTGGGACTGCTTCAACAACAAAGACTACAGGAGTTAGAAAGCTGGATCCCCTAACCTTTCAGCTGCACTGCTGCCAACGCACTAGGCGGAATCCTGAAGGTCAGGTAACCCGCCTGTGCTTTAGAAAATCACACCACTGATCAGTGCATATGGGTCTTGTCAGTTGCTATTCCTTTAACTATGATGGTGTATTGGTTCGAATCCAGCGAGACCGTAAGGAGGCACACCGTCTTTGAGTAACTAGGCTTGATCAGTAGTTACCGTGTAACTATCACTTCCGGTTTCCCTGACCAGCAGATGGGATACATAAACCACTGAAACTCCCCTTGTCAAGCTTCTTCACGCTTACATCCTTGCATGTAACCATGGCACGGCATTTAGCTACCTGTGAAAGTCATAGCTACTCCCGCCAACAATATTTACCATAGAATACATCAGTTGGTTTACTCTAGATCCCAGTTCCAGGCAGAACTTTCATTTGCTTGAATATTATCACTTCTTGAACCTGGGGGATAGGTCTCTTCACCGAGCGGGAGACATCCATTTGTAATCCACCCACATGAAGACGAAAACTGCTGCCAGAGCATTCTGCCAAATGCTCTCGCTAGTTTCACTAATAAAATTCCTCCCTCCCAAATGTCATGTTTCAACGTATCCGCATTCGGCGGGTGATTGGCTCGTTGACCATACTTACCTCCTCATGGGAAGAAGTGCGTCGGATACGTGTCACTGATTATCCACAATCTTGCAGGTTGTGATATGGTACACCCCGCGGAGCGGTCGATCCCGCTCTCACTGAAACTTAATTGGAAGCACGCTCACACATGACCCGGTCAACCTAGGACCATGACTACAGCAAACGATACCAAGCATTCCGGACTGAATACTACTCACGTTCACAAGGTAAACCACAAACACTTCTCTTGGGATTACTTTTATAACATAGACTACCGGAATTAAGAGACTTAACTCCATTACCTTTTTCATAACTCACTGCTCCCAGAATTAATTAATTGGGTGGAATTCTGATGGTATACTAGTTCATCCGTGCTTTGGAGACCCGTAACACTGAGTACCGCGTTTGCCGCTGAGTCAACTAAGACAGCAGTTGGTTGGAATCCAGTGGGATCACAAAGAGATCCACCGTCATTTATACAAATAAACCTGAAACCAGTGGACATTTCATCTCAGGCTTTGTTGGCCAGCAGCTCCCGCCAATAATATTTACTGCAGCACATATCAATAAATGATTCCAGTTTATATCCATTTCTTACCTTCACGAAATGTAAAAATCCTTTATTCACTTCACTCTGTGAAAATTTATCTCATGTAATGCACCTTACTTCCATTTAGATCATTCAAACAGCATGTAGATAGATAGTGACTGGTCTAGGTATTATTTTTCAGTGGAAACCTAGAAACCATAATAGATGTTAGTTGGTTGGTAGCGATCGGTAGGAAGTCAACCATAATCGACCTAGGCCTCCTACGTATTGGCACTCGTCAGCAAGGTGTATATACGAACTCAAAGCAACCCAAATCCCCCCTTTGACTTGAACCCGCGTCATCCATGTCTATAGTCAGAGACGTTATTAATGGGCTACTCATGTAATATTGATGAATACAATACTGAGTAACATAGATTCCAGTCTCAGAGGGGATATCGGTTTCCTCAAGGTTGCAGATGTCTCTTGCTGACGAGTGCCAAAAAACACGAAAGCTAGGTGAAGAAGGGCTTTCTTTCAACTAATTAACTAACAACCCTAAAAGTACACCATGATGGTGAACCTCCTCTAGCTTAGTGGCCACACTACAAATACATGATCGATATAATTCGGTCACCACTCAGGGCTAAACAAAATGAAATTTGTTGCTGTCCAGTGACCAGTTTATTTAAACCTCAATACCACTGGACATTGAAAGGAGAAAAGTATTTTTCTTAAATAATAAGACTAATGAATAGAATAATGTTGAATCTTTTAAGTTTACGGTTGCCAAGTTCATATTTTTTATTTAGTTAGAGCACCTATAAATTTTATTAGATTTGAAAATACATTTGGAATGTAGTTACATTCGTCGCTTTGAGAATGTGAATAATGAGAAAAAAAGAATTTCATTGACGAAAAGCTTCATTTTGGAATACTGTTTACTGACATAATTTTCAAAAGAAAGAAAGACATATTATTATTATTATTATTATTATTATTATTATTATTATTATTATTATTATTATTATTATTTGTGCCTTGGGTTCCTAATGGAACATAGGGCTTCACTAGCACCCATCCATTCCACTCTCTTCTCAACAAACTCTCAAACCTGGCTCCACAACAGCCCACAAACTCTCATTTCTTCCTCACACTATCTCTTCCATGTCACCCTCACCCTCAACCTCACCCTCACCCTCACCTCGAACGCCCAACTCGTCACTTCCCATCTGGGTTCCACTCGATCAACTGTCGTGGCACGTGATGTCCCCAGTCGGCCTTCTCAGTGTATGCCCAATCCAATCCAATCCATCTCCACTTTCTTCCAGTGCATATTTGTTGAGCGATAGCTTGTTGCTTCGTTGGTTCGTTGCCTGCCAGCCAACCAGCCAGCCAGCCAGAGATCCTTGTTGCTTATTCTTATTATTCTGGCCATCTGATCTTCAGTAACGAGCCAGCGTAGGTGGCACTTGTTGATGAATATCTGTAGTTTGTTGGAAATGGTTTTCGTATAGCGCCATGTCTCTCAACAATCACATGAAAGCACTGACTTGACTGGATTGGTGTTGAAAATCCGGATGTTGTTCACACTTTATGGTGAGTGCAGTGCAGAAGATCTCCACACTGGTTTCAGGTTAATGAAGGAAGGCCTGTCTTGTTGTCTTTCCGATCCTGGCTGGATTTGACGTCCTCGTGTGTGTCTGTGCCGCCTGTAGTTGAAACAGTGCTTCCTAGATAGGTGAAAGAGACAACTTCCTTTAAGTTTCTCCCATTGATGGTGATTGGAGTTTGTTGCTGTTGTTGTTGTTGGTTGGGTATCTTCATCACCTCTGTTTTCTCTACGTTCACTTGAAGTTCTGTCTTCGTTGCCTCTTCTGTCGACTTGTTAGTTTTCACCTGTAGATCTTCATGTTTGTGTGACATCAGACACAAGTCATCGGCGAAGTCCAAGTCTTCTAGGTTCTTTGCCGCTGTCCAGTGTATCCCCCTTTTCTCGCTCCTCACTGTTTGCTGTATCATCCAGTCCACTACAATCAGAAATATCAAGGGTGATAGTAGACAGCCTCGTTTTACTCCTGTTTTCACTTCAAAGGTATCGCTGAGCTTCCCATTGTGAATTACTTGGCATGTGGCGTTTTCATATAGTTGTTGTTGTTGGTATACTATTTACTGACAGATAATTTTGAAAAGAAAGTTTTACATGCTTAAAAAAATAAGGCGTGATGATGAAAAGTGAAGTTGAATATCTGGGTCACCACAGAATTCCGTACAGTACTGTACACGTCTTCTAAACCATCGTTACCTCAAATAGTCGCACTGACAATCAATATGATCCTCTCCCCCCTCTCTAGTTCAGGTACTCATAGCTCGGCAACTAGCGTAATCATAGGATCAGTCGATAACAAGGCTTCACGAATTCACACAACATTCGGTCAAAACCCCTGATGATCTAAATGGAATGAAAATATGGTCGACAGTTGGTTCTCGTAGCTCACTTGGTAGAGCACTGGTAGCTGGTTCGAATCCGAGACAGTCAAACAGATATGAATAAATGCAGTTATTCCTAAGGTGGTATTTATCACGAATTGACGTCATTTGGATTACCACTAGAAACGCGCTCGGTGACTGTTTCGTCCTAGTCTGGGACCCCTCAGCAGTACACACCCAAGAACTCGTTTGGAATCAAACTCAGGATCTTTAAGTTGGAGTTCAATAGTCTACAGTTTCCGGCTTCTGTTAATTTGCCATACAGTGTGATTATCCACTGAGGCCTTCAATTGGCATCAGCTTCACTTCCGACTGGTTGACCCCACAGGTTGTGGTTTGTCATTAGAGCTGCTGAGCAGTTCCACGCTAGGATGAAATAACTGTCTACTACCGGAAGGTTTTCAATAGTTCTCTAACTCATGTCAGTCTATGATGAATACTACCTTAAAATATGAATCAATCCTAAATCTTCTTTCAGTCTGATCTCATCCCAATGATTGATGCAAGACGAATTTACAATCACTTTCAAGTACCTTTAGATGAAGAGTTAACTGAACAACTATTCGACTTAGTGATTGTACCAGCACCAAAAGAAATGATTGACAAAATGAAAGAAACTTTGAAAAAGAATAAGGAGAATTATACAAATACAGAAAAAAATTATCACATTGAAAAAGATCTACTGAATTGGCTGTTGATTGGCGTAAATTAGGCCTATTGTTAGATTGTAAACGTTTATATAATTGGAATGATGACAAATCATTGATGCATGAACGTGGTTATGGCTCTATGAATGATGCTAAACCGGAAGTAAATGAAAGTAAGTCATTTCTTTGGTTTATCTTATTCTCTATGATTTTATTTACTATTTCATTAGAGTACAGTTTTCTATTCACTGTTAGCAAATAAGCCCTTGCGTTTCGTTCTATTTGAGACTCATCAGATGGATGTACCTATTTCACGATTACGGATGCTATTCCCAATATAATACCAAAACTATTCTATTCCAGCAAAGCAAAAAGTGGCTATCGTGACTCATTGGCCTAGTGGATAACACTCTGAGGTTTGAAACGATTGTTCCTAGGTTCTACTCTTAGAGGAGGCAAGTGCCTCCAGTTGATGAGTACTAGACAAGACGAAACCCTCGTCCTGGATTTCACTGATAGTCATTTTTAGTCATCAATATCGAAAATGATTATTACAGATTTGGATATTGCATGAAATGTCAGTTTCCCTAAAATCGTACAAACACCTTAACATTGATTATCAGTAAGTAAATGGGTTACTCGGGTTAAACAGAGATACCCTCAGAATGATTTTGAGCATCAAATATAAAAGATGAAACCTATCGTTAAAAGTACTAGTAGAGTACTCAAGAATGCCATTCAATAATATCTTTGGGAATTCCATTTTAGTCTGTTTATTAGAAATATCATACAGTGAACAGACAGTAGCATTTACTGGATAACGTTCCGAACACAATTTATTGTCCAAATTCATATCACAACAGGTAACTCCACAACTTCGAGACAGACTTTATATAGTCATAATCTTCTCTCCTTTTCTATGATGACAAGGGTAGTAGAATTTGCATACATCTCAGACGGGTACGGAATCATTTAGATTGCATGTATTCGGTGTTGATTCGATAAACAATGATTCAAGGTGTTATTCATCGTAGACTGACATCAGTTGGAGGAACAAAGGAAATCTGGGAGCACTAGACAGCTGTTTCGTCCTAGTATTGGACTCCTCAGCAGCGCGCACACACGACCCCACCTAGCAAGGGATGGAACCCACCACCTTCAGGTTCCATGGCCAGCATGTTACCATTGAGCCAGGGGGTCGGTTGAATCCAATGGTCCATATTTCCAACTTCTGTTAGCTCACGATATAGCCGCCACCCAATGTCATCGCTGGCCGCGGAACCTGAAGGTCGCGGGTCCGGTCCTTGCTGGTGTGGGGTCGTGGGTGCGCACTGCTGAGGAGTCCCATACTAGTCGGACGAATCAGCTGTCCAGTGCTCCCAGGTTTCCTTTGTTCCTCCAAGTGATGTCAGTCTACGATGAATAACAACTTGAAATATTTACAAATCTCCACAACTCCCTCAAAATTTAAACAACGATTCAGTCGATTATCAATCTCTCCTTCCCTCCACCCAACTAACTTAGTTTTCAACACTGTCGGCCTATCCCACCCTGTTGTGTGATTGTGTGTCATCGTATGTATAGTAGAGTTATAGCTGATCTTTTGTCTAGATTTCTTATCTTATTAGGATATACTAATCTTGATTTAGCTGAGTTTTTTTGTTCTGTTATTCTAATTTTTTATCGAATCAACACCGAATACATGCAATCTAAATGATTCCGTACCCGTCTGAGATGTATGCAAAATTCTACTACCCTTGTCATCATAGAAAAGGAGAGAAGATTATGACTATATAAAGTCTGTCTCGAAGTTGTGGAGTTACCTGTTGTGATATGAATTTGGACAATAAATTGTGTTCGGAACGTCATCCAGTAAATGCCACTGTCTGTTCACTGTATGATATTTCTAATAAACAGACTAAAATGGAATCATGATCGACCACAATGCCAAAGGTTTACACTTATATTAATATCTTTAGAAAGTAGAAGATAAAGAATGAGGTCATTTATGCTACCTCACGGTGGCATAATTTGTTCCAATTTCTCTTATAAACTATTTAGTTAACTCTTGAATTTCGTACTCATCTGAAGATTGTTCCTACGATGTACTGAGACCGGACTAATAAATGTTGACATTCTATGGAATGACTTCTCATGATAATAAATGTCCACTGCTTTAGCCACTTATAGGAATCCTAATAAATATCACAGATGAAATTTTACGTTCCATATCGAAGGCGCTACAGAGCAAGAAAATGTTTTTGTTGATTCACTGTTGTTTTTGTGTTCTTTCAGATGATGGTTTTCCATAGTTTTCTTCATTACTCGTATAGTGAATCTACTCAGAACAGATACTCAACGACAGCATTGGACAAAGGTCAAGCAATACTGCGAATTGGTAGAAGTAGAGAGATGTGAATCATTAGATTCTGATCTAGGGACTCAATGGTAACATGTTTACTGCAAGTCCTGAAGGTTGTTGGTCGAAAACCCGATAAGGCGTGGTGATGAGTACTCACTGCTGAGGAGTAGCATACCGAAGAAGCTATTAGTTGACCACATAACTGGATGTCAGTTGGACACTTTCTCATAGAAAATAATAAACTTTAGATCTCATTTTTATGTTTTGTTGTTGTTTAAACAACCCAGCTCAGAGAACACAATACAACCAAGAATTTGATTTGCCTTTGTTGCCTATTTCAATGGATTATAGATATCGGAACTGTACGCCGTCGTCTACGTCGGGCTATACAAGCAAATTTACATTATTGGACAACAACGAATTCAACATATGCTGGAAATCAAAATGCACTGATAAATACTGATAATTGGACACGGTTAGGTGAAAATTATTTGCAACTTCATAGACCAGTGCCAAAGGTAAACTGATTTTCTTTTTGTAAAAGTTATAAGGAGCAGAAAAACAGCTGAATTAAGCATATTTCAAACCAATAAGTTTTATGTTAACTACACCGTGATGTACCAATTACACTGTGTGATCCACCATGTAACTAAACTAAGATTTTGTTTCAGCCTACTAGTTGGTGTGTAAATAAACAATATACAAATCTCCACTTTTTTATATACTGCTTAGCCAACTAGGTGAAGTAACCGAATGAACAACAGTAGTAATAATAATACGAAATGATAATAATCCAGTGAGACACGTAGACTAGATAGGAACAGTGACTGCTGTCCCTAACCGCTTTATAGCTCAATTATTATTATTATTATTATTAGTCCCTTGGGTTCCTAGTGGAACATAGGGCTTCAGTAGCACGCCTCCAGTGACCTCTCTTCTCTGAGATCTTTTGAACCTGGTTCCACGACAGCCCAGAAGCTCTCATTTCCTCCTCGCATGACCTCCTCCATGTCACTCTCGGACGTCCAACTCGTCGCTTCCCATGGGGATTCCACTCGAGGGCCTGACGCGTGATGTCCTCCGTCGGCCTTCTCAGTGCATGGCCAATCCATCTCCACTTCTTCCTGCATATTTGTTGCGTGATAGGTTCTTGGTTGGTTCGTTCCCAGAGTTCCTTGTTGCTTATTCTTTCTGGCCGTCTGATCTTCAGTAGCGAGCGTAAGCAGTTGTTGATGAATGTCTGTAGTTTATTGGAAATCCCTTTCGTGACGCGCCAAGTCTCTGAGCCATACAAGAGCACTGACTTGACGTTGGTGTTGAAAATCCGTATCTTGTTCCAGATGCTGAGTGCAGAAGATCTCCACACTGGTTTCAGGCTAATGAACGCCTGTCTTGCTTTTCCGATTCTGACTTTTACGTCCTCGTCCGTCCCGCCTGTAGTTGAAACAGTGCTTCCTAGATAAGTGAAGGAGGTTACTTCCTTTAAGTTTCTCCCGTTGACAGTGATTGGAGTTTGTTGTTGTTGTTGTTGTTGATGGTGGTGGTGCGGTATCTTCATCACTTCTGTCTTCTCTATATTCACCTGAAGTCCCGTCTTCGCTGCCTCTTCTATCAACTTGTTAGTTTTTGCCTGCAGATCTTCAAGTTTATGTGACATTAGGCATAAGTCATCGGCGAAATCCAAGTCTTCTAGGTTCTTTTCCGTCGTCCAGTGTATCCCCCTCTTCTTGCTGCCTACTGTTTGCTGCATGATCCAGTCCACCACAATAAGGAATATCATGGGGGATAGTAGGCAACCTTGTTTCACTCCTGTCTTCACTTCAAAGGCATCACTGAGCTTCCCATTGTGGATTACTTGGCATGTGGCATCTTCATATAGTTGTTGAATGAGGCGGATAAAGGTTTGCGGTACTCCGTAGTATTGAAGCAGTTTCCAAATTACTTCTCGGTCGACGCTGTCAAAGGCCTTCTCAAAGTCGATGAAGTTGAGGCAGAGAGCTGATTGCCATTCTATGCTCTGTTCTATGATGATGCGTGGAGTGGCGTTGCAATTTGGTCTGCACATGATTTGTACTTCCTGAAGCCTGCCTGTTCCGGTCGCAGTTTTGAATCCAGTGCGTCTTTAAGCCTCTCTAGGATGATGCGGCTTAATATTTTACTTGGGGTGGACAGGAGAGTGATTCCGCGCCAGTTCTTGCAAGCACTGAGGTCTCCCTTCTTCGGCAGTTTGACAAGGTAACCCGTCTTACAATCAATTGACAGGTACCTTCTCTTCCTTCCACACCTTCTGCAATAGTGGTGTGAGCATGTCCGCTGTTGTCTCTGCATCTGTTCTCAGTGCTTCTGGCGGTATTCCACCTGGTCCTGCTGCTTTCCCGCATTTCAGTAGCTTTATGGCGTTCAGGACTTCCATTTTCTTTGGGGGATTTATGTTCACTTGTAATTCAGCGGCTGCAGGTGGTATTTGTGGACGAAGTGCAGGTGGTGGTCGATTCTAGAGCTTCTTGAAGTGGTCGGCCCATCGTTTCCTCTGTTTCTCTTCTTTTGTAATTAAATTTCCTTCTTCATCTTTTATTGGTTTCATCTGTGTTGGTCTCTTCCCTGATAGCAACCTGGTTATTTGATACAATGTCGTCAGGTCTCTCTTACCTGCAGCCTGTTCTGCTTCACTTGCCAGTGTTTCGTAGAAGTGTCTTTTGTCTTTGCGTGTACCCTTCTTCACTTCTTTGTCCAGTGTTTTATACATTGTGCTCAGTTCCTCTTGTCGTTGAGCATCCTTGCACTGGTTTATCTTCTGCTTCACCATCCTCCTCTCCCTGCTCTATCAGCTTCCAGGTATCCGTCGAGATCCATTCCTTGTCTTCCACCTTCTTCCTTCCTAATACGGCTGTGCAGGTTTCTTTCCACATAGCTTTCAAAGACTTCCAGTGTTCTTCCACACAGGTTTCTTCAGGGATGTTGCTCGATGTCTCCCATTTTGTCTTGATGGCTGCCTTGAAGATCTCCTTTGTAGTTTCATCCTTCAGTTTCCGAGTGTTGTACTTGAATTGAGGTCTATCACCAGCTTCCTTGAAGGCTTTTAACTTGATTTGGAAGGTTCCTTGCACTAGGTAGTGGTCTGAACCTACATCTGCTCCTCTTCTTGACCTTGTGTTAAGTAGACTGCGTCTCCATTTTCTTGAGATTTATAGCTCAATAAGCCACGAAAATATCAGAAAACAAAAACTGATCTGTGACTGTAAAGAAGACATTTTATTCGACAAAAATACATCATTTATATACACTTTTCATAAACATACAAAATTACGAAGTCAAAAATGGATATTTATTTTGATTGGTCAGCTGTGGGACAAAGTTGTCCAATAAAGTTTTCTTAACCACGCAGTAACATGAAACAAAGTTTCAAATAAAAAAACTTTTATCTTAGTGGCTAATAACTTAAAATAATGATTTCCGTTTTGATCACTTTTGTAAACCTAATGTAATTCTGACGTGATCCAATTGTCATACGCAAGCCAAAATTTATTCCGGCTGTTTAAGAGTGATGAAAATTCATTCAAGATATTTTCAGTTTACCCTACAAATTCTTAACAATTTACACAGGTCGAAACTGCTGCAAATTATATTCTCATATCAATCCGCATACGTTTATTATTTAATAAACATACAACTAATGAAGTCTAGACATTTTTCAGCGTTGTTAACAAAAATAATACTGGGTATTTATGTGAATGCCTGTAGCAGACGCAGACGCACTTAGATACCTTAAACACATCCCTGTAGTAGGCAACAAGCCGTACATGGTATGTGTGTGTGGGGGGGGGGAAGGCTTGTCCTACCACCTGATTACCCAAACCTAGGTGGGTGGAGCGGAGCTGGAACTCTTGACCCGTGCTTATAATTTCCTGTCGTTGATTTAACCCAAATGGTCGATCTCCATTGGCTTATGCGCTCCCGTGTGAATGCCTCAATATTGACCGTATTTTCAGTTTAATATTGACAAGGGATATTTTGCTAGCAGTAGGATCTAAAAGGCGGGTCTCGACCTACTTGGGACTCGTCAGCTGAACGTGACGGCCTACCAGTGAGCGACGTTATCTGGAGACACCTCCAGCTGACGAGCCCAAACAAGAAGAAATGTGCATCCCAGATTCCACTACCAGACACTATCCATCAGTAGTAGCAATACTAAGTAGTGATATTACGGATTTTCTATCTATACTTCATGTCTTCGTGTGGATTTACTAAAATAAATTGAAGCATGAAATTTATACGAGTTACCAGCAGGAGTGTTTAGTTTCTATTTATACTCATTACATTTACGTTTCATGAATTCAATAACAGGATAACATTTTGAGTGCTACGTAGTGCTTCTTCTTGAAATAAGTGAAATGATTTACAAGTTGCGCAGTTCCCGTTGTTAGTTCTCACAGCTAAGTAGGTTTTCAACTGCCCAACTGTCATGTTAACGAGATGTCCATCAGAAACCTTTTTGCAGCCAAGAACACAAAATGAATTATACTACTCAAGTTGTTCAGTATGTTATATTTCGAAACCTACGGAAGTTTAAGTGAATGAAATGAAAGTTTTGTTGTAAAGTTTCTCCGAGAAGATGCCTCGTAGGTTATTCAAAACACCTAATATCCGTATAAAAATGCTCAGTAATAACATATTTAAAATGTTTGGTTATACCTGTGGTCTGGTCTTTTTGAACATAAATGTATATATAAATGGACTCTTGAACAATAACCCTTGAGGGTTCCTTGGTTTCTCGAAAACAGAAAGAAGCGACGGAAACGATAAAGGCTTTATTGTCAAGTCAAATAGCTACAAAAAGCAACAGTTTATATACATTTTTGCTAACCTTGGTATGTTCTACACTCGTCTAGGGAGTCTTTCATCAGTCTGAGACTCACATGTATGATCACGTGGCTTTTCACGAACGTTCAGAGTGCTCTGATTGACTCCGAAGGCTTTCCGAGGAATTCCAGGCTTCTTTGAGGAATCTAGAGAATAGTATCGCACTTTATAACACTTTAGATAGATAGAATGTATTCGAGGCTTTCTTAGTTTCAGTGACATTTTACATGTTGATTATAACTGAAATATCACCTATGATCTTCCTGATTGTGGTCAGCTGAATTATGCAGCAAACCGTGAAGAGCAAGAAGATGGGCATACGCTGTTTCATCGATGAATAAAATAGACCCTAGAACATTTGGATTTCGCAAATGGTGATTTGTGTCTAGTGTTTCATGTCACACAAAATCGAAGATCTACAGGCGAAAACTAATGAATTAGCAGAAGAGACGGTTCAGGGCAGCGAACACGGCACTTTAAGTGAACTTAGAGAACACAGAGGTGATGAAGATACCCAACCATCAACATCAACAACAACCAACAACAACACCGATCACCATCAACGGGAGATATCTAAATGAATTTGTCTCCCTCACATACCTGCCCAGGCAGTATCGTCTCAACTACAGGCGGCACAGACACAGATGACGATGTCAATGCAAGGATCAGTAAGACAGCAAGACAGGCCTTCAGTAACCTGAAATCAGTGTGTTGAGATCTGGATTTTCAACCCTACTAATGTCAGTCAAGTGAGTCAGTGCTTCTATGTGATGGTTGATAGACTTGATGCGTTACGAAAAGCATTTCCAGCAAACTCTATAGACATTCATCAACAGCTGCCGCCTACGCTCACTCGATACTGAAGATCAGATCAGGAGGTTAGGAAGCAAAAGCTACAAGGAACTCACTCTGGCAATCAGCCAACCAATGGAGCAAGAACCTATCGCCCAACAAATATGCAGAAGAGAGTGGAGATGGATTAGATTTAACATACACTGAGAAGACCGTTCGGGGACATCACGCGCAAGATCAGGCCCTCGAGCGGAACCCAAAACGGGAAGCAACGAGTTAGGCTTTCAAGAATGATATGGAGGAGATCGTGTGAGGAAGAAATGAAAGCTTGTGGTAATCGTGTAGTCAGGTGGAACTAGACTGCAGAGAAGACAGTGCAATGGAGACGTGCTGCTGAAGCCCTATGTTTCACTTGGAACCCATGGAACAAATAATAATGATATTAATAGAAAGATAACAGAGAATGAAATCGGAGAAAAGTATGACCAAGGTTATCTGGCCTCTGTATCGTTGTTGTCGAACTCAAAATGTTTTTTACCTAAGATCTTGACGAAATACGGGAAGTTTCGATGTTGTTATAGCTTGTAAACCCCCATTGTTGATTTGATACCTTGATATTACCTGGATTTTTAATACTATATACGTTGTCCAAATGTGTGGCTGTCGTAATGCCGTGGTCCAGTGAATAAGACACTGTCGTTTGGTCCTGCATTCGTGTCCGCACGGTAGAAAAATCATAAAACGTACATCTAGCATTTCACTGCTAGCCGCTATGCATCAGTAATAATGATACAGGAGTTCTACTTGGAATTCACAGGTGTATAACACTTAAAGCACTAGTTGCTATACGGACAAGATCTATATGGTATACCATAGAAGCTTATATCACTTGAACTGACGTAATGTTGTATTATTATTATTATTATTATTATTATTATTATTATTATTTGTGCCTTGGGTTCCTAATGGAACATAGGGCTTCACTAGCACCCATCCATTCCACTCTCTTCTCTACAAACTCTCAAACCTGGCTCCACAACAGCCCACAAACTCTCGTTTCTTCCTCACAATATCTCTTCCATGTCACCCTCACCCTCAACCTCACCCTCACCCTCACCTCGAACGCCCAACTCGTCACTTCCCATCTGGGTTCCACTCGATCAACTGTCGTGGCACGTGATGTCCCCAGTCGGCCTTTTCAGTGTATGCCCAATCCAATCCATCTCCACTTCCTTCCAGTGCATATTTGTTGAGCGATAGCTTGTTGCTTCGCTGGTTCGTTGCCAGCCAGCCAGCCAGCCAGCCAGCCAGCCAGCCAGCCAGCCAGCCAGCCAGCCAGCCAGCCAGCCAGCCAGCCAGCCAGCCAGCCAGCCAGCCAGAGATCCTTGTTGATTATTCTTATCATTCTTATTATTCTGATCTTCAGTATCGAGCCAGCGTAGGTGGCAGTTGTTGATGAATATCTGTAGTTTGTTGGAAATGCTTATCGTAAAGCACCAAGTCTCTCAACAATCACATAAAAGCACTGACTTGACTTGATTGGTGTTGAAAATCCGGATGTTGTTCACGCTTTATGGTGAGTGCAGTGCAGAAGATCTCCACACTGGTTTCAGGTTAATGAAGGAAGGCCTGTCTTGTTGTCTTTCCGATCCTGGCTGGATTTGACGTCCTCGTGTGTGTCTGTGTCGCCTGTAGTTGAAACAGTGCTGCCTAGATAGGTGAAAGAGACAACTCCCTTCAAGTTTCTCCTGTTGATGGTGATTGGAGCTTGTTGCTGTTGTTGTTGTTGTTGTTGTTGGTTGGGTATCTTCATCACCTCTGTTTTCTCTACGTTCACTTGAAGTCCAGTCTTCGCTGCCTCTTCTGTCGACTTGTTAGTTTTTGCCTGTAGATCTCCAAGTTTGTGTGACATCAGACACAAGTCATCGGCGAAATCGTAATGTCGTATTTTTGTCTATAATTACTCTTTTGAATTTGTTTCTCATCTCTTTATCAAGCTACTATTGAATTAGTTTTATCAATAAAATGTACATATTTTTGTTGTTTCTGAATAAAGTAAATAATGATGATTATAAGAAGTAAATTCATTATTTATCTATGCCATGTACACTTTGTTTCATTTCCATTACCTTGACCAGTCACGTAGTTGTTCAGATTATACAAATTATGGTGATGAAGCTGGTGTTGGATCAATCCTTAACCCCAGCATATTTACAGACTATGGATTGTCTAGTAGAGATTTACTAGTTCTACGTAATAAACAAGAAGTAAGTCTAGTTTAATTTGATCATTGTTAACCTTAGTATCAAGACAAAAACTTGTTTTGAAGGTGATGATATACAACTTTTTTTTCATCAATATGCAAGAGGTATTTGTGTGGTAACTATTATGAAGTTACCAAGAATTACAAAAATGGATTTTGAGGGAGTTGTGGAGATTTGGAAATATTACAAGTTGTTATTCATCGTAGACTGACATCAGTTGGAGGAACAAAGGAAATCTGGGAGCACTGGACAGCTGTTTCGTCTGACTAGTGTGGGACCCCCCAGCAGTGTGCACCCATGATCCCGCATCACGAGGGATCGAATCCATGACCTTTGCGTTTGGCGACCAGCGCGTTACCATTGAGCCAGTGGGTCGGTTGAATCCAATGGTCCATATTTCCAACTTCTGTTAGCTCAAGATATAGCGCAACCGCCACCCAATATCATCGTTGAGTACTAGGACGAAACAGCTGTCCAGTGCTGCCAGGTTTCCTTTATTCCTCCAACTGATGTCAGTCTACGATGAATAACAACTTGAAAAATGGATTTGATTAAATATTCTATGGCTAAGGGAGAGATAAGGAATGTACAGACCTCTAGATAAAAAAACTACAATTATTAGCTCGAATTCTCCCCTTATTGATAGTGGTCATGAGGTAGATAAGAGCAATACTTTCACAATTATTCACTGTATACTACTTCATCTTTCGAAAGGGATTCGACTCATCTTTTACACATAGCAGAAGCTGTAGGAATTTGAGCTAATAATCCCAATCTTTCTATCCAAAGAAATTTGTATATCCCTTATCTTTCCATTGGCCAGGAATACTTAGTTAATAACTTTATGATTGGGTCTTTTTCCTGAATCTTTCTTATGCTTACTGCGTTTGCTTAGACTTGGTTTATCCACTTACCTTGTCCTTTAGTACTACGTAACTTTGATTCTCCCAAGTAAGATTTTCACCCACTTTTATTATCGCAGTGTCTACATTTTCATACTGCTTTCTTGGTTCTTAACATCATCATTATCATCTATATTGCAAGTGATTTAGTCAACGTTATCACTTTCATTATTTGTATTATTATCACCATCGTTATTTTTAAGACATCACACACATTAACCAATAAATCTACATAATTGGCTTAAACTGGGTGATGATTGGAGTGAGATGAAAATTTGAACTGCGACTGGATTCGAATAAGTTACCACCAGGTTTCCGGCTCGATGCTCTGCCATCTGAGTTGCGAGGTTCGACTACTGATCATGTTTTTGTTTTACTTCAGTGATTGGTTTAGTTTATGTGAATATTGAGCTACTTGTATTAGAGTAAAGCGTAGAGAGGATCTAATTGAAAACGGTATTGTTTGCTGATACATCCTGTTCTAATTTACACGATAAAAAATTTTGAAACTCGTCAGCTGGATGTACTTGCACTCCAGTGCAGAGAGTCGTTCCCACTGAGACTCGAACCTCGTACCCATCGCATCAAACGCCAAGGCGTTATCCACCATGCCACGTAGGAACGATAGCCACTTCTTGTACAACGGGTGTTAGTTAATACTATTTGTTGGTAAACTTGTTATCCTTCGTTGTTTTGTTGGATCGAGTTGTTCGACCTCTATTGGCATATGGGCTCGAATGCGGATGTCTCGATATTGCCTGAATGTTAATAATGATAATTTGGTTGGTAGTGGCTAGCAGAAGAAGCCAGGACGCTCTTTTCGAACAATTCGATCCAACAAAACAACGGAACATAACAAGTATGTCAATAAATAGTAATAACTAATACCTGTTGTACAAGAAGTGGCTATCGTTCCTCCGTGGCATGGTGGATAACGCCTTAGCGTTTGAAGCGATGGGTACGAGGTTCGAGTCTCAGTGAGGACAACATCACTAGGTTCTAGGTGCATCCAGCTGATGAGTCCCAAATAGGACTAAACGCGCTTCCTGGATTCTTCTGCTGGTAACAACCAATCAAATTATCATAATTAACATTCAGGCAATATTGAGGCATCTTCATAAGAGCCCATATGCCAACAGATGTTGAACAATTCGATCCAACAAGAACAATGGAGAATAACAAGTACGTCGATAAATAGTAATTTTTAAACCTCCTAGAAATGTATTTCTAATTTCAAGTTTCCCCTGATTGATTGACTGAAGACCAGGGACTTGTAGTCAACTGACTAAATATATCGATTTATTCATGAGTAAGAACAAGACATGCATCAACGAAGAAATATCTTTTTTCAACGACTTCATTATCAAGCTATACAGTCTTACTTATACTCGATAAAGTGACAGATAATTGCACTGAAAAAGGAAGTTGCTCAGTCAATATGCAAAATATACAATCGGTGTAGGTGGTGGTATTTGTTCAAGTGGAAGAAATAGAAAGTGAGTCACTGAATATGGAGAGACGAATTGATAACAAGTGATAAGAGATAAGAGACACGTATTGTCTAAGAATTGTAAAACGGTGATAATTTAGCTGAAATACGCAAAATAGGTAAATCAATAAGGAATGACTTGATATTACATGGTGAAATGTGGGTCAAATATTGTCAATGAAGTGAAAATTGGTGATAATGATGATGACGATAATAGAAGAGAAGTGAAGTGAAATGAAGTGAAATTGACAAGATAAACAGAATGAATTGTTAAGGCCAAGGTAGAGAAAGTGGTTTCACAAAACGTTTTTGAATGTAAAGTCTCGGTTTTTCTTCGTGTATAGCTAATGCTTCAACAGTTCATTGCAGTTCATTCTGTTTAGGATTTGTCATTCTAATGGATATCCTTTAGGCGAATCGAAAAACAGTGTCAGTTCACTCATCAGCTTTGTGTATAATCATGCAGTAGAAAGCAACGAGACATCTATTATGTGAAAGCTATTCATGATACCACCTAACCGCCCAAACCTTTTTAGGTGGAGCACTATTCAAACCCATAACTCATAACTTGTAAGTCAGCTACATAAACCACTTAGCCACAACTCTTTTTGAGAAATCGTAGCTTGATAGAGTAATGAATAAACTTCCTGTATCTGAAGCAATGCTTATTCGATTCTGATCTGAGGAGGAGTTACCAATGCGTATATAGGTAAATCTATCTAGTGAAAATCATATCCATATTTCCCCTTGGAATAAGATGAAGATTAGGTCACAAGCAATACTGAGGCATTTGTATAAATGAGGTTGACAAATTCAGTCCAGTATACTGTAAATATGATGAAAGATGACACGAATTACCACCAGTGACCAAATTTTAGAGTTTTTTTTTAATCTTTTACACACCTTAGACAAAGCTATCTTATTTAATACGAATTGTAATCAAGACATCACCTTGTAGGAAATCAACCATAGATATGTAAACAACGATTTAGTGGTGTATATTAATCTTTCTACTAACCTATCAGTAGTTACATCAATTTAACATAGAAAAGTGCTAAGCCAATCTGATTTCACTTTGTAAACACTCTGGTAAGGAGATCAGTAGGGTTTAGGTGGGGAAAAAGAAGCTAAGATTGTCACTGTGAAGTATTCTATGCATTTTGGTATTTTTTATATATTTAGATGAGTAATGTAAGAGAAAAACTTAGGTACTGTGGTAGAATATAGGCTTTTATATTAGACTGATTATTTGACGTTGTATATAGTGATAAAGCATAGTTCACTTGATGACATTTCATCCAGTCATCTAGTAAGTTATACTGTGTCACTGTGTGCTACATCAAATCAACAATCTAATATGGATGCATATAGCCCCTCATTAATTATATCCACTCTTGAGCTATTCACTCACAAAGTCAGAAATTTCGATAACGCTATTACAAGACGTAGATTATCTGAAAAATGTGATTCATTTGCGCAATACATTTTGAATAGTCTGATCCCCCCACATATTCACTTGTCAAATCAATAAATATATGAAAATGAAAGGTGAAATATTGTAAATATGAAAAGGTGGTGACCACTAGTCTTGGTAATATAATCAGATTATCAAAGATTATCAAGGTAAATCAAGTGAACCAACAAACTGTTTTTCTATGCACAGGGGGAGGGTAAAGTTTGCGAATGGCTAACGTTCTAGCAAACTTCAGTATGCGCCCCTGATTATTCCTGTATAATATCGTGAAGGGCGTGTATGTTTAATCCAATCCATTTCCACTCTCTTCTGCATATTTGTTGGGCGATAGGTTCTTGCTTCATTGGTTGACTGATTGCCAGAGTGAGTTCCTTGTAGCTTTTGCTTCCTAACCTCCTGATCTGATCTTCAGTATCGAGTGAGCGTAGGCGGCAGCTGTTGATGAATGTCTATACAGTTTGTTGGAAATGCTTTTCGTAACGCGTCAAGTCCATCAACCATCACATAGAAGCACTGACTCACTTGACTGACATTAGTAGGGTTGAAAATCCAGATCTCAACACACTGATTTCAGGTTACTGAGGCCTGTCTTGCTGTCTTTCTGATCCTTGCATTGACATCGTCATCTGTGTCTGTGCCGCCTGTAGTTGAGACGATACTGCCTGGGCAGGTGTGTGAGGGAGACAAATTCATTTAGATATCTCCCGTTGATGGTGATCGGTGTTGTTGTTGATGTTGATGGTTGGGTATCTTCATCACCTCTGTGTTCTCTAAGTTCACTTAAAGTGCCGTGTTCGCTGCCCTGAACCGTCTCTTCTGCTAATTCATTAGTTTTCGCCTGTAGATCTTCGATTTTGTGTGACATGAAACACTAGACACAAATCACCATTTGCGAATCCAAATGTTCTAGGGTCTATTTTATTCATCGATGAAACAGCGTATGCCCATCTTCTCGCTCCTCACAGTTTGTTCCATGATCCAGTTCTACAAAGTCACTTGTAAATAACTTTAGTTGGTTAGACGATCCTACTGATCGAATCAGGTAGAATAATTTAATTTAACAAATCCCTTTTTATGGTAGAAAGTGGATAAAAATGGAAGTCATCATTTTCAGTCACCAGTCGTTGTGGTAGAAGTG